AATTCTAATTACATGCCTAGACATCGTCGAAGCACCTGTACAAGAAGCCGCCGATATGTCAACCTAAGACCGAGCACTTCGTTCCAGTCAATCGACAGGAAAATTTGAAATCCAATTAAACAATGAATATGACCCGTTGCACAAGAGATGGCTAGATCTCATGACCGAAATGGTCTAGTGGATAACGCGTTGGCCGGTGTTTGAAACTATGGGCACTGGTGGGAACATCATCACCCACTCGTTGGGGAATGCAGGTACATCTAGCTAACTGATGAGTCCTAAGGGGGACGAAACGCGCATCCTGGATTCCACTCCTAATCACCATCCACTAATTAAATTTTAATTATACTACTGATTGACTGAGAAGAATAGTTCTATTCCACTCACTTATATCAACCAGTAGTGCTCATCAGCTAACCGCATCGAAGTGATCTATACCCTGGACGACCATCTGGGTTAGACCTGATCAGCGGTGCACTTGATTTGGTGAATTACACGTGGCTCTGGATCGGGTCCCAATGGCTAAATGATCTTAGAGCTCGGCGGCCTTGTAACCAGAAGGTCCAGGGTTCGAACACTGGCAGTGGGTGGGTCCTGATGAAGAGTCCCATAGCCATCTCAGTCGACGTAGCCTTACAGTTTCATCCAGTGAATTCCCTTTCATACCTAGCACTGCACATCTAACCTCAATATTACTTAATATCGGAGAGGGAGAACATAACCATCTGTAGCCAAAGACTGCTAAACTTTCTATATTGTCCACTTACATTGACCTTATGTCACAACCATAAAAGATTGTAGCATAGAGTGGATTTGGTTCCAATTGTGATCAGCTTTTCAAGTATTAATCGATATTATTTTTGTACAAAGCTATGAAAAGATTTCCTCAGTTCAGGCTATATAATTTATTCTCAAGTAAAAAAGGTTCGCAGTCACTGTTATTTCGAAAATATGCTGAATATTGGACATTGTTACTTTCCTTTCTCTACTTCACCCTTTCAGAGTCCAACCTCTCTCTCTCTTTCTCTTACTTTGCTAGACTTCATTCAATCGTCATGAAATACTGACGGTGTGAGATAAGAATTCATAAATGTCGAATAATAATAAGATCACTGAGGTAGATCGACTTCTTAACAATTGAAGAGAATGACTTTATGTAATATAGATCAACAACACTGATTTGCGAACAACTGCTACACAGATATGGATGCATGCAGTTGAAAAGTGCCTAATGGGACGAAACGTTCCCCATTGAATTCCTCTTTTAGTCACTGTCAACCAAACAACGACAGTGTCAACCATTAAAGCATCGTTGAAGCGCCAGTACTAGAAACCAAAAAAAGAAAAAATAACACACAGCCTCATTGAGGAAACTATCAGTCATCCGGGATGAAGAACCCCAAATGGGATGAATCGACATTTCTAGAAGCCATTTTTAGTCATCGTCAAACATATTTCACGCACAGACATGTTATTCATGTCATTAGACTTTTAAAATACTTCTTTGTTTCAAGTAAATTGATGGGTGATGACTAGCAACGGAATCCAGGATACGTATTTCGTCCTATTTGGGACTCGTCAGCTAGCTGGATGTAACTGCATTCCCCAGTAAGTGATAGTGTCCTCATTGAAGCTCGAATTCAGTATCCATAGTGGATAACTCTTTGGTGTGTGAAACTGTGAATTCGAGCCTCATTGGGAACACCATCATCCAATCACTGGAGAATGCAGATACATCCAGCTAACTGTCAAGTCCCAAGTAGGACGAAGTGCAAATCCTGGATTCCACTGCTAGTCACCATCCACCAGTTTACTTGATTGGGAAGATTTCATCATGAGCTGACATCAGTTAGAGAACCATTGAAAAAAACCAGCTGGGAGTACTGGACAATTGTTTCGCCCCAGTTTGGGACTCTTCATAAATACTCACCCCGGGGGTTCAAATCGATGACCTTCTGGTTACAAGGCAAGCACATAGACTATTAAGCTACTAGAAGCCGATTCAATGACCAACCCAGGAATTCTAACTTCTACCAATTCATGTCAACTCATAATGAAATCCTCCGGCCAATCAAAAAAAAAATCCCTACAGAACCAATTCTTATTTCTTTGTTTATTTTTAAGTTTCACAATGAATTCACCTCACACAAATCCCATTCACACCTTCACAAACCTGAAATTCTCTTTTTTTTGCACATCAAAGTTATCACCTGAAATCAGTTCCACATCAATTATAGAATTCATTTTAATAAATAATAATGATAACAGCGGAAGCAATTCCTTTTTATTAAGTTTCAAGTTTTTATTGATCAAAGTGTGCAGCTGCGTGTAAAGTGCTCCCCTGTGGAGGGGTTAAATCTCAGTAGGGGAGGGAAAGACAGTAGTAGAATTAACTGGACAATAGCTTGTTCCACTCTTCCCCTAACTCTAAGATATTTATGTCTGTGTGTCTGCACATCTATTCATGTGTGCTTACATACTTTGGTAAAAGGAAAGGGTTATTTAAAGACAGGGATAGTATTGAAAAACCCTAATGACAACAGAAAGAACTCATAATTTATGCAAAAAAATATTAAGGATTGTCTATAAAAACTATAATTATCACATTGATTATGCATGCATAGATACTACATGTGTGTGTGCGAAGTCTTGTACTTTTGTGGTGTGTGGTTTTTTTGACTTTCATAAACATTGAGTTTGTGGAAATTTTGCTCGATTTCATCAAAGATAGTTTTCGTTGGCAATTAAAGAGGCTAAGGCGTCAGTTACAGAATTACCTTGAAAAACAGGAGACCACTGGACTACTCATCGAGTATTTATTGCGATCCAGGATGTACGATACGTCCTGTTTGTGACTTGTCAACGCGATGTACCTGCATCCTTAGTTAGTCAATAATGTCAAATGTCTGGTCCTTGATATTGATGCTGATTGTTAGCTTTTGCGATGATAAGTAATTTAGGAAAAAGCTTAGCAAGTGCACTGTAAGTATTCCTGAACTCACTCACAGGACAAAGCTACCCATCGAAAAAATTATTTTAGGAATTCATTTATGATGTTTCACATCTACTATCTTTAAATTCCAAAGCAAAATTTATAGGCAAACAGAAGGTGTAGAAATGGGATCACCAGTATCCCCTATCGTAGCAGATATATTTATAGACAGTTGGGAAAATATGGCTCTTAATGCATTTAATCCTACTACAAAAATATGGTGGAGATATATGGAAGACACTTAACGCACAGTGTTAAAAACAGAACATATCTCTCTCTCTAGCTTCTTGAAATACACCCATAAACTCACTAGTGGGGGGGAATAAAATCCACATTTGGATCGGAAAATAAACAAGGAGAATTGGCTATGGTGTTAGATTGTGAAATAAAACGAATAGAAGAAGGTAAACTGCATACTAGAGTTTATTAAAAACCAACGCATTTTCCCAGTAGATATGTAGACTTTAATTCATCTAATACGTTATCTGTGTGTGAAGGAAAGCTTAGTTAAGTGTTTAACAAACCGAGCAGTAGCACTAAGTAGTACAACAGAAAACCCAAACGATGAAATGACACAGATAGACGAAACAGTGATGGTGTTTGATAGCTATCCTATATGCTGCTGCACTCTTATATCGCATTTGGAATGTAAGGAATTTTTAACGATAATATAGCGATATATATATGAGGTTCCCGTGGTTTAGTGGTCATCACATCTGTCTAGAGCACATAAGAGGGCGCTAGTTCAAGTCTTGGCTGAAACATATACGTCTGTGGCACAGCGGTAGAATGTTCACCAACCACGCCTCATGTGGTCGGGGACTAGCAGTGGAATCCAGGAAAACGCGCATTTCGTCCTATTTGGGACTCATCATCTGGATGTATTTGCATTCCACAGTGAGTGATATTATTCCCATCGAGGCTTGAACCAAGTGCCTGTGTTATCCATTAACCCTCGTGTGCCACGAGAGCCGCCTCTTGTGCAATGGGCTTATTAATAATTTAATTCAAATTGAGTTTTCCCATCGTCGAAATATCTACACAGGGAGCCGACATGTCAACCTGAGACCCAGAACTTCAGTCCAGTCAATCGACAGAAAAGCTAAACTGAATTAAATAACACTCCACTTTTATGTTCGAGAAATAAGGAAAAACTACTTTCCTAATTTCACCTCCTCTATGTTTATCTACCAGTCAGACTGTTCTTGTGGAGAAAAGTACAGCAATCAGGCAGGTCCAACATGATATTTCTAAACATTATCCTGCAGTGTGGTTAAGCAAGGGATAAACAAGATCTATTCGTTGCTTCGTTTTAGCACGCATTGTAGATGTTGATCGTAAAGTTGGTATTAAAAGAGAATTTAAAGCATTTATCGTATTTCAACTAATAATAATTTTTCTCTACGAGTTAATCTCCTAAATGCAGCTGAATTCATCAGAAGCCACCTGAAGAAGCCGGACATGCGTATTCAGAGGAAATTTATATAACCACTTCCCTTACTTACCGGCAATTTCTCCTCCCTCTAAGCCTTTTATAAGTTAAAATTATTTAAAGTTTCACCGCGGATAGATATCAGTTAGAGGACCATTGAAAACTGCCACAGAGTGCTGCACATCTTTATCGAGTTAGTTAGCGACTCATCAACTATATGTGCCCGCCGGGGTTCAAACTCAAGACCTTCCATTTACAAGGCAAGCTCGTAGAACATTCACCCATTGCCTATGAAATCGTACTTCTACCAAGACGTGAATTAAGCGTGGCCACTATCCAATGCCATTGGCAGCGAGTTTTTGTCCTCACTCGTGACAGAGTGGACAAGGTGTACCTGGATTCAAACTTCTGTGGGTCTGCGCTGCTGGTGGGTCCAAAACTGGGATGAAGCAGCTCTCCAATACATCGATAGATAGATAGATAGATAGATTTAGAAAAGAGCCACAGCTGAGTATCTTATTACAATCTTCTTCTAAGTACACTATTATTCCACTACATTTTTAATAACTCACTCACCTGTAATTGATTTGTATACTTTTTCGTAGCTGAATCTTGAATCCGTCTACCCATAACAAGCCATTTTTGATTCGGCAATGAATGTACCATACGTCCACTAGTAAATGGCAGCAGTGGATTACATGATGAACAGCCTAGAACTAATTCTGTTATGCCGTCTAAGTCGTGAAGACGTGAATTCCTCGGTCTTCGACGTCTTTTCTCTCTTGACTTACTACTACTATCTCGTTGTTGCTCTTGTCTCCATTCACTTTCTTCATTGATTGAATTGATTGACTTTGATTTCATTAGATATTTCGATTGATATCGATCTTGAGATGATGATCTTCGATGCGTGGGTATTTTTAAATCTCTAGCAACTCGCATATGATGGTAGTATCGATTGCTATTAATATTATCATCCACACTATCATCATTATTGTTATTATTATAACGTCTTCGTCGACTATTTCTTTTTCTACGATATTGATCAATACTACTCAACTGTGTACCGTCATTACGAATCAGTTTCAGGGCTAAAGTTCTTGGTGTAAGATTTAGTATAATTGAGGCTTGATTTGGTTGTAATACCATGTCTTTAATAGATGCTTTGAGAACTGAAAAAAAAGAGAAAATCAATAATAATCAATATTATAGATATGTGTATTGATCATTTCCATTTTCGTCTGCATATTTATCCGGTAACAGCTTTTTAATTGGTTAGTTCGGTAGACTGTCAGATTTCTTTGTTATCTGTTCTTCATTATGCAGCGGAGGTAGTTGTCGACGGAAATCTGCACTAGCCTGTTGGAAATGCCTTTCGTGACGTGTACACCATTTCTCTGAACCACCTAGAAGCTTTGACTTGATATTAAACCTGAATCTTGTTCCTAATACTGACTGCCACAGAATTCCAGGCTGGTTTTTAGAGAAATGAATGAATGCCTTACTTATTCGGCCCTAGATGGCTTTGGCATCCACATCTGCGCTGGGCAGTCAGGTAAGCGAGAGAGGTGACTTCCTTTAGATTCCGCCTACTGGTGTTGACTCTAATGTCCGTTATTTTTGGTTAAGTGCCTTCGTAATAAGACTAGTATATATGTCCAAGTCAAGTTCATTTTTAACAGTTTGGAAAAAATCTGGCATTGAGTATATGATATTCATTATAATAAAGGTAGTTTTGTGTTTCCCAGTGAATGGATGAAAAACGAAACGATATTGCTGTTTTTACTGACGTTTCGCTATTCAATGCTACGAATAGCTTTATCAATATATTATTGTTAAACCAGAATTTAAAATATCTCAGTTTATATATAACAACTTAATCATCGTTCATCCCCATGAGGTCACTTTTGCGTTGTCAAGTTGGCCAGTTGGTAAAGATGTTAAAACCAGGCATAGATTGTTGGATTTGATAACTGTATAAAATTATAATAGCAGCATGTGTTTGCATAATGAAATTGCTTATCACATTCGTGTTGATTTTGTCACTTCATGGGGGAGGGAGGTGTTGTAACTAGGTCAAATTCTGTTTTAGTCCATAATTCCTATTCAGTCAATTTGGATTCCAATTGATATGAAGTGCCTCTGATATTAGACGTTTTTTGTGATTTCTGAATTTTTTCTGGATTATTTCAATATTGTCGAAATCAATTTTTTGGCCTGTTTCTATAGCGTTTAGACCTGTGGCTGACGATTTTTCAAGCTTTTCTAGTTCAACTGGATTTCTCGGGGGTCAAACAGGGTTGGTTCTACGGTGTTCATTTCTTCTAATTTTGTTGCTTCATACTGTGTTTGAAGTAAACTCTAATGTCCAGCTGCTTGAGTACTCTTCTGATATCGTCTGACGTCTCTGCTCTATATGCAACGACGACTGTTGATGTTCATGTTTTCGGAATGCGTTTTTGACCATACTTAATGTCTGTGTTGATTTTGTTGGTGAAGTTCCTTGGGTAGTTGTTTTGCTTGAGAGTCTCAGTAATGTTTCATATTTCTTCTTCTTTTTCTTTCGTACCCATTATCAGAGAGTCTGCTCGTCTAAGAAGACTTGAAACAACTGATACCTTAGCGCTGATGGGGTGTGTTGATCCGAAGTCTAAAAATTTATTTCAGTGGGCTTTCTCCCTGAATAAAGATATACTCAAATGTCCGTTTTCGCTACTCTTAACTAGTCAGGCAGTCTAGAAATGATAGTTCAACGACGTCTAATTCTGCTTCCGAAGTAAACTGGATTCTGGGAGATAGATTGTTTAGTTTCTCTAAGAATATAACTGTGTAGATCTCGTTTAAGCACTACAAAAGTGTCCTGTACATATCTTAACCATATTTTAGGAGTGAGTATGCTTGAAAAGATGTTATCTTCTAATCTATTAATGAATACATCAGATACTATTGCGGAGACTAGTGAACCCATAGCAACACCATTTGTCTGTCTATATAATCTCCTTTTAAATGTAAAATAATTACTTTCCAGACAGAATTTGAAGCTTTTAATGATTTCACTGGTGTCTAGTGGACATCTTTGTGATAGCGTTGCATCTGATTCTAGTAGAGTGGAACTGATATCAAGACTTTCGATAATAAGGGTTCTACTATATATTCAATTAATTTTATCACAGCTTACCATAATGTCTTCTTTATCAAATTCTTGGTGTTCTATATGGGATCTGAAATCATAGGGTTAGTGTTGCGTTACTGCAGAGCCCAGGGGACAAGTACTTGAGGCCGGTCACACAAGGCCTGTAGAAACTGGTTTCTTGGTTTGGTTCCGTATTAGTAAACTCACCGTCGGTTATGGACCACCGTGGGGTAAGACGGAATGTACAGTCTTTAAGGTCGACCTTTTCTAAACCCTTCTCTCTAGAGTGGAGAGGCAGCACAACTGGCATACTGGTCATCTGAGGGAAACACCTCACTGCTGCTACACCCCTGTTCCCCAGGATTACGTCTTCGCCCAAAGACTCCCAGCATAGTAAGATTCTTGCACAATACCGGTAACTGCTTTTAGTCTAATCGCTACTCTCACAACCTTCCTGTCATGGTAGGACATGCAGAAACATCGGCCCTAGCCAGTGTAGCTTCTTAGGTCATCGCGATGTGCAAGCCCTACCACCACATCAAGGTAGCAGCTATCTGAAATCATATGAATCTTTTACAATATTTCGAGTCTCCTTTTGGAGTGGTTGTAGTAATAATACTTTGATAAAGTTATTAGGAGCAGCATTGAATAGCGAAACGTCAGTAAAAACATAAATTTCATTTTGTTCAGGTGTTGGTTTGTAGGGATTTGATTGGTTTCAGGATTTCATCATGAGCTGACATTAGTTAGAGAACCATTGGAAAACCTGGGAGCACTAGACAGCTGTTTCGTCCTAGTTTGGGACTCTTCATCGGTACGCGCCCACCAGGATTCGAACCCAGGACCTTTTGGTTACAAGGCGAGCTCGTATACCATCAAACCACTGGGACCCGATCCACTGGTCCTTGAATTCTAACTTTTGCCAATTCACGATATAGCGTGACCGCTAGCCAATGTCTTCGGTGAGTATTTGTCCTCACACTCAACCTGCTGCACCCTACTGGTCACGACTTCCCACTGGAGTCCAGGTAACTACCTACCTGAATAGGGCCAGTCGCCAGTTAGCATCTCATTGTTGTTCAAGTGTTGGTTTGTAGGGATTCGATTGGTTTTAGCATTTCATTTTGTTTTTCATTCATTCATTGGGAAATACAAAAAAAACACCTTTATTATAATGTACATCTGGTCAGTTGTGCAACAAAGGTTTACAACGAATGGATTACAGACAGATCTAATTTTATTCAAAAATCCCACTTCAACTTTAATTCACCTTCAATACATAAAAATAATAATAATTGAAAGAAGGCAACTTTTATGCCTATTACTCACCCACATCAGCCATACAATAAGAGCTTGCAATATTTTCCAGGGTTATTGCTTGTTCACACGGAACACATGTTACAGCTGATGAAAAGAAACAAAAAAAGAGAAGAAAACAGAATAAGAAAGAGGTACAGTAGAATTGAGAGAGAGAGTTGAATAAACAGATGTGTGTATGTTTGCGTGTTTTATGCATTCACTTAAACTCTCTCTCTGTCTTCATTTTCCCTGCTAAACAAGTAAAATGGTGCAGTATTCAATGTATTACCACAATTATTATTATTACTTAATCCTTTGCGTTCCAAACAGAACAAAGGGAGTCAAACTTCTCCTTTGAATTTTCAGTAGAAGTGGGTGCTTTTTAACGTCATAGACATGCTGGCCTCACCTCCAATATTCCCAAGTTACCCAGTTACCGGTTAAACAGGGAGATTTAGGAGTGAGAGAAGAAATACATCGGGGGCGTACAATTAGGCAGGTTCATCATCGTATTTCCGAACATCATCCAACATGGTTAAGCAAGGAACAAACAAGATCTATTCGTAGCTCTATTTTAGCCCACCTTGTAGATAGTGAGCATAAGGTTGACGTTAATACTGCACTTAAAATTATTTATGGCATTCCTACTAACCTTAATTTTGCTTTACGAGTTCGTCTTCTACATACAGCTGAAGCAATAGAAATCCACCTGAAGAAGCCAAACTTGTGTGTTCAGAAGAAACTTGTACGACCACTTTCCTTACCTTGGCCATCGTTACATGACTGTATAAACCGGACTACTTCATTCCCCTACCCCTAAAATTTTATAAAAAACTTTAATTGCCCAAATTATTTTATTTTTCTGAGTACTTGATCTTTAATTACGTGTTATCCTTGTAAAAATAATTTTATTCTTATGACCACTTCAACTTTAGTTACAAATTGTCATCGTCCAAATTGTTTTATTTTCTTTAACAATCTGTTACGTAATCAACCTGTGCACACGCTTATTCCTCCCTTAATTGCTCTTCATTTTTCCAAAATTATGCATTATGCAATCCACGTGTTGTAACCATTTCCACCTTTTAATTATATATATTAATTTTTCTTCGTTAATTATCACCCCATTGACATTTTGACACCGAGTAATTATTGTTAACAAACATATCGCCACTTGATTGGTAAATTGTTGTGTATTGTAATAAAAATGCTATGGATATATATTAGAGTAGAGCCAGAGATGGGGATCTAATTGAAAAGTAAATATTTCTTCGCTCAATCTTTCTGTTTTCTAAATATCTAGATGGGGATTTTTCTACATTTAGGAGTGAATCAACTAGGAATCGAAGCCCAGACCCATCGGTTCTTTGGTTTGGCGAGTCAAATTTTGTATACCTTACCTTCAAACCACGTCTACCATATATCTCCACAAAGGTGTATCATTAACCTTCTCTGACATCTAATCTTTCTCCCTACTATTTGGTGTTTTAACACCGATGAACGTCTCTTTATATACTACTTACAAATCTTATCAGTAGCACTCGTCACAATATATGTATGAATAACATGGACATACATAATATGAGCTTACTGGAACATAAAATGCTGATCAGGCAGGGAAACGGTGGTGTTAGTCTACTGTCTACAAGTTATGTTGTTTTCTAGCACTCTTAACCAGACCTATTTTTCGTCCTCGCGATGCATCTGAATCCTCAAGATTAATCGTTTCTGGCACATCAGAACTTCCACAGCCAACAAGCATCAATCGAATACCAGCTCATTAACCTTCAGAATTCTTAGTAGTATCTTAACTAGGAGGTGATACATCACCACAGATCGAGCATGCCGATTCAGTAAGAACCAACTGGTGGGAAACAGCAGATAATTTAAGCGAATAATAATTTCTGACCTTGAATGGGAATTATCGGCATTACGCACCCACTTAGGTTCGAACCCAAGAATTTCCGGATACGAGGCAAGCTGGCATACCACTCAGCCACTCAGACGATCTAGGTAAACGTAGAGAAGATCGAGGTGGTGAAGATAACCAACCGATAAACCAACAGCAACATTAACAACCAGCACCAATTACCATCAACGGGAGATATTTAACAGAGGTTACCTCCTTCACTTATCCGGCCAGGAAGCATCGTTTCAACTACTGTCAGGATCGGGAAGGCAAGATATTCACGCCTTTATCAATCTAGAGCCAGTTTGGAAATCTCCTGCACTCAACGTAAGCAACAAGATTCAGATTCTGTTCAACACAAATGTGAAGTCGGTTCTTCTTTATAGGGGTCGGAAACTTGCACTGCGTGTCACGGAAAGGATTTCCAACAGATTTCACAATTTCATCAACAGCTGCCTTCGCTGGCTCCATACTGAAGATCAAATGGCCAGCTGGCCAGAAAGAATTAGTAACAAGAAACTCTTACTGGCTGGGAACAAACCAATAGGCGAGAGCCGATGGCTCAACAAATATGTAAGAGAAAATAGAGATGGATTGGTCGAGCATACATTAAGGAGACAGTTGAATGACATCGCGTGTCAGGCACTAGAGTGGAATTAAAACGGGTAACAACGAGTGGGTCGTATATGAGACAGTGACATGGAGGAGATCCTGTGGGGAAAAGATATGAAATTTCGGGCAGTCGTCGGCTCAGGTTAAAAAGGATGGCAGAAAATAGAACAAAGCGGATATATGTTGTTGAAGCCGCATGATGTTCCACTTGGAACCCAAGGGAAAAATCGTAATAATTATAAATGACTCATGACAGCCTGCAAGTGTCTTGTGATTATTGCTTGATATAATCTCCACTGTTGGTTGATTATGTCGGCAGTGATGTCTTTAAGGGATTAAATAGGCCCATTATAAATTTCAGAAGACTGGATGTCTAACAAAGCGTATTTTTTTTCAATAACTTCCTCTTCATTCGGTTCTACATTCATACATCCATAATAGTCAGAGGTGATCATTATTCACAACACTGATGTTATAAGTCACTTTGAAACAATAAGAATAATATATACCTGTAAAACTTGATGAATAAGTCATCGAAAGTAGCATTCTCTGTTCACTAAACACACCTTATAGACTTGAATTTGAAGAATTTCCCTAAAGCTGTACTACATACCGTACCTGATTGGTTGTATGTTAACAAAAATATACAAACAACCACGGTAACTGAGTATAGCCTTCCCACTGTGGTAGAATATGACTCTGTGTAAAGCAGTACACACTGTTACAGTAATAATAACTACATGACATTCCGAGGATAATTTAATGCTGATAATCATATCACTGGCTGACACTCGTTCAGGGTTCAGTGCTCAGCCGACTCACTCTTTAACCTCGCTCAGCTACTAGTAAGACTGGTCTAGAGGGAAGGCTGGACGTGAGTCGAGTAACCCAATCCCATAAAAAAAACACCACGGCCGCTGGAACTTCATGGCTGAAGCTTGAAGACTTATGTTCCACTTGGAACGTGAAGGAATCATATAAATCGTATCAGTGGATTCATAAGACATCCTAACTTCCTTTGTCGAGCTTTGCTAGTTCCTGTTGCTTTAATTCAATTTGCTACATATTAGGGAGAGATGTTGCATCATTTCGACTGTATGTATCTAGTGTTCATTAGATGAACAAAGATTCGCTGATTAACTTCTCTCTCCACCTTAATTTATTACTTCTGGCAAGTGGTTATTCTATGATGTGAATCAGAAGAAGATGAAATTCATTCAATGGCCACTGGATAGGCTCTCACTAGCCTAATGGTCTACGAAATCACATTGTGATCAGAATGTCCCGGGTTCGAACCCTGGCGGGTGTGTGCTGTGAAGAGTTCAAAACTAGGACGACACAGACAGATGTCCGAAACACATCAAAACAAATAATTGTAAGATAAGATATTATCATGAACTGCTTCCCAATAGGCGTCAAAAGGTGACCCTTTCGGAAATATGAACGATGATATATCAAGAGGCGAGTAGTTGACAATATTCAGGTGGTCAGATGGTTCAAGTCAGTGAACAAACGGGCCAGGCCATGTATATAACCATATAGTGTTAGATCTTTGAAGCCTTTCAGTGTGACTGTATTCTTTGAGCCCGGTGATTTAGTTGAGCAACTGCTCTTCAACGCCTATTTCAGAATGAAGTAGGCCTGAAATCATGCTGAATCGAAATGATCAGTTGATGTTTGTATAATTTCGACTCAGTTAGTGATCACTTTTCATACTTATAAGAATAAAAATTGTGCACTGTGGTTGAGTGTAATTCCATTATGGGTACATTTTTGTTTTGATAAAGTCTCACAGTGTTGTTATACAGTAATGTCTACTGATGACCCTGTTTCGAGCACAATTTATTGCCACTCATAATCATATCAAGGTACTCACACGACTTCCTAACTTCATTTATATAGTTCCATTATTTTTCATTTGATTTGATTGGTAGTAGTATTTTCCATATTTCAGGTATGAGTGACGAGTCATTCCTGTTGCATGTGTTTGGTGTAGACTCGATGAACAAGGATTCAGTAATCAACCCCTCTCTCCACCTATCTAGATTACTTTTTAGAATTTTAACCCTCTCCCACCCTATTGTGTGGTTGTGTGTTAGCGCATGCATTGCAATTGCTGAGCTTTTTTCTAAATTACTTATCTTCTCGGGGTCAACCATTCTTCCCTTAGCTAAATTCTTATGCTTTGACAATCTGACTACCCCTGACCTACTAGTTTGACCTGTGTAGTTGACCTCACAGTCATTGCATGGTATTTTGTAAATAATATTATTTTGTCTAATTGGGTCAACCGACAGGGTCCTTTCACCTACACAGCTTGTCCCTGAGTGAGTTTGTAGGTTTAAATGCCACCCTAATTCCTACTTTATTCAGAATCCTACGTAGTGTCTCAGATGTCCACTCTTTATATGGTATAACTGTGGATGCCTTATATTCTTTCTTATTTATGTTATTATTACTAGTTTCACAATTATTTTTATTTTGTTTTTGACCTTTAATGATTGTGCTCGAAACGTCATCAATAAACATTACTGTATAACACTGTGAGACTTTATCAAATCAAAATTTACCCATAATGGAATTA